CCTCCCCTCCAAATCAGTGAAAAACAGAGAGAGAGGTGAATCCAAAGGAGGTGGGTGGAGATTTTTCTCTATTTTTGAATTAGTGGTTTCTTTTTAGGATCTGTAGTTTTGGAATACAGGAAGTTATAGCTTCCTCTACCTGGCTTTATGACCTGTGGGTTTGTGAGTCCCCTGTTCCAGAAGCCTCTGTCTGTTTACCTCAGGCTGCGGCATCTGTCTAAGCCTGGGCGAGTGCTATAGCTCAGTAGAAGGGAAAAGCGGTCAGACTTCTGATTTGCACTGGATGCAAGCAGCAGGGCAGGGGTTTTTAAGCAGGCTGCTTTGCTTACTGCCAGTGCTTTTAGACCCAGCCAGCCTGAGAGCCAAGCAAACTAGGCCTTATATCTCACCGTGTGGGCTTACCTTATATCTATGGAGACAGGTTCCCCTTTGCAGTAGCTGGGCGAGAGTCCTCATTGCTTTGTTCTTGTCTTTGCATTATGCTTCATTTCTCCAACTTCGGTGTAGCTTCTGATTTTCCTGCCAGCAAACTAGGCCTTATATCTCACCTTGTGGGTAGCTTCCTGATTCCTGGAGATGAAGTCCATTTTATCATTTTTTATGCATCATGTTTGGTGTATCAAAGACATTTTTATCTAACCCCGGATCATGAAGACTTTTTTCTCTCTACAAATTTTACAGTTAATGTTTCACATTTAGGTCTATGATCTTTTTTCCAAATAGGCTTTTAAAAACTGAGTTATAAAAAAATTTGATCCTTCCTGATTCCTGGAGATGTACTTTCTCCTTACCAAGTTGTTATTTTCCAGGTTTCTGGTTTTCTTTCTCTAGAGTGCTTTGGTTTTGGAACTTGTAAATTGATATATTGATGTTTTTATTACATGAATAATCCATATTTTTTATACTATTAGAGAATGGTAATTCAATTAAATAAGACATACAGCTTTCCTAAAATATCTCATAATGATTTGTGGTAGTGAATAGGCACAGACTTGGTTGATAAAGCTTTATGCAGCTGGAATTTCTTTTATACATTTAGTTTTTTGAGACGGGGTCTTGCTGTGTACTTTAGGCTTGCCTTGAGCTCATTCGGCAGCCCAGGCTGCCTTCAAACTTGTGGCGAAACAAACCTCCCTAGTGTTGGGGTTATAGGCGTGTACCACCACACCTGGTTATACCATATTTAGTTTTGTGGGGGTGTTTTGTTTGTTTTTGAGACAAGGTCTCACTAGGTAGTTCTGGCTAGCCTTGAACTCACTGTGTAGCCCAGACTGGCATTGAACTTGCAGTGATCCTCCTGTCTCAGCCTCTTGAGTGCTGGGATTACAAGTGAGTGTCCCCATTCCCAGCTTATTTCATTTTTATAACCTAAAATTTTGAGTATATTTATTAAAAGTTAGAATTAGGCCAGGGATTTAGCTCAGTGGCACAGCACCTGCCTGACAAGCATGAGGTCCTGACTTTGATTCCCAGTACTCCCCCAAATAAATAAATAAATAAATAAATAAATAAAAATTAGAGTTAAAACACAGTCTTTTTGTTTATTTACATTCAAAATTTGTTTTAGAATAGATTTTGCATTTATAACTCAAAATTTTTTATAACTCAGTTTTTAAAAGCCTATTTGGAAAAAAGATTATAGACCTAAATGTGAAACATTAACTGTAAAATTTGTAGAGAGAAAAAAGTCTTTATGATCCTGGGTTAGATAAAAATGTCTTTGATATACCAAACATGATGCATAAAAAATGATAAAATGGACTTCATCAAAATTAGGAACATCTGTGGTCTGAAAGACACTGTTAAGAAAATCAGCTAGATGTGGTGGTATGGGCCTGAGTTCCGAGCATTCTGGGAGGCTGAGGTAGGAGGATCACAAGCTGGAGCCCAGCCTAGGCAATTTAGTGACTCAGCAAGACCCTGTCTCAAGATGTAAAATTAAGAAAAGAGCTGAGGATGTACTTCAGCATGAAGAACTTTGGTTCAAGAACCAGTATCAAAAACAAAAAAAAATTGTGGAATACAGAAAATATTTACTAAACATATCCAATAAGGACTTTGTATCCAGAGCCCATAATGAGCTCACAAAACTCAATAATAAGAAAACAAACAAGCCTATTTTTCAAAGTGGGTGAAAGATTTAGGTACTTCATATAAGATGAACATATGGAAAATAAAGACATGAAAAGATTCCCAGCATCATTAGTCATCAGTGGAATGCAAATTAAAACCATATGAGGTACCAATATGTAAGTATTAGAATGGTTAAAAAACAAAGTACCAAGCAAGTAGAATAGTGAATATTATTGGTGATGGTGCAAAATGTGATACTGTGAAATCTGTATTTAGTCTTAAGTCTCTGGTTCTTGCTGCACAGTTCCTAAAATCTGTGGAATCTTTACAAAAGTGTCTTTTTGTATGCTAATGAATCAAGTGGTGATCTGGCCCCTTGGCTAACTTGTGGACCAGAGCCTGTGTAAGGGAAAGACCAGGCACGATGATGGGGTGGACTTGTAGCAGCCCCTCCGCCTGCAGGAGGGAGAAAGGGGCTGGAGGTTCTGGTGATCACAAGTGACCACTGATTTAATCCACCACACCTGCCTAAGGGAGCTTCCATTCAGCCCGTAAAGGATGGGGTTCAGAGCACTTCTAGGAAGCTGACCACGTGGAGTTCCCTGGAGGGTGGCGTCCTGGGAGAGGGTATGGAAGCCCTGCACCCCTTCTTTCATTGCTTGCCTTATACACTCCATATTTATATCCTTGGTAATAAACCCATAAATGCAACGAATTCTGTGATCCACTGAAGCAAAGCAGTTGAACCCAAGAAGACAATCTTGGTACCCTGACTAATGGCTCGTCAGTCAGAAGCACAGATAAAACAACCTGGGGCGTGTAAGTGGTACCAAAAAGTGAGGGGCAGGCTTGGGGACAGAAACTTTGAACAATCTGATTGTATCTTCAGGTAGGCAGTGTCAGAATTGAGTTGAATCAGAGAACAACCAGCTGGTGTGTGCAGTAGGGTTACTTGCTGGTATGTGCTGAAAGACCCCGCACAGCTGGTGTCAAAGGTGTGAGTGTGTGTTGAGGTCAGAGTGGAGAATGGGAAAACACTGTGGTATTTCCTTTATCTCTGAGAATGGTTGGAGGAACTGAGCTTGTTTTTCCAATATTCTCAGAATAACCATTTGGAAATTTCTTATAAAATTAAACATGTTGTTATATGGTGATTGTAAAATGTGTCCATAAATTCTTTGACACTACCTTCAAATATGTGAGCTAAATTTTTCTGTTCTTGAGCATCAGCTGGGCTTAGTAACTTACCTCGAACAAATGGAATGTGGCAAAAGTAGTGGCACTCTGAGACTAGGTCACAGCAGGCTTCACAGCTTTTTTCTTGCTCTCTTTCTTGGATCTTTGGGTCTGGCAGGAGCTGGTTGTTATGTCCTGAAGGCTCTCAGCCCTGTGGAAGGGCTCACATGGGGAGGCATGGCAGGAGGATGGCCTCCTGTCAGCAGCCAGCCCCTTGCAGTGAGCCATCTGGGAAGCGGTCCTCTGTCCCCAGCCAGTGCTGGCTGCCTTCTCGACTGGAATCTCATGACAGACTCTGAGATAGAACTATTCAGCTCTGTCATCTCACATTCCTGCCCACAGAAACTGTGTGGGGTTATAAATGTGTTTTGTTATTTCAGGCTTTGGGGTTTGGGGGCAATTTATTATGCAGCAATAGATAAACAATGTAACTTACTAAACAACCTAGCAGTCCCACTCCTAGAAAAATGAAAATGTTTACATAAAACCTTATAGCAATCATGTTCTCAGTGTTATAGTAGAGTTGTAACAGAAGAGACTGTGGGGGTGCAAAAAAATTTAGGTTAAAATAAAAACCTGTACATGAATGTTTGTAGCAACTTAATCCATAATCTCTCCAAACTGGAAACAATACAAATGTCCTTCAGCTGATGAAGAGATAAACAAACTGTGGCGCAGCCATACCATGGGTTGTTACTGCCCAAAGAAATGACAAAATACTGATACATGAAACAATAAGAATAAATCTCAAGTGCGTTTTGCTCAGTGAAATAAGCCAATCTGAAAAGGATAGAGGATCTGGTCTCAAAAATAAAAGGGGGTGTAGGAGGTATAGCTCAGTGTAAAGGCCCTGGCTTCAATTCCCACTCGTGAAAAGAAAACAACAAAAACAAACAAGCAGAAAAACAAAGATAAATGCCGGATGGTTCTATTTTTTTTGACTTTCTGGAAAAGTAAAATATAAGTACTAAAAAGAAATGAATGTTTTCCTGGGGCCTAGCAGTGGTTGTAGGGGTTAAGTACAAAGAGACCTGAGGCACTTTTGGGGTATCAGAACTGTTGTACATGTTGATTGTAGTGGTCAGTATCTAATTCTGCTTGTTCCAAATTCAGACTTGTACACCAAAAGAGGAAATTTCATTGTATTTATATCATGAGTTTACTTTTTTTTTGCAACGTGGTCTCGCTAGATAGTTCTAGCAGGCCTTAAACTCACTGTTCAGCTGGGCATGGTGATTATACCTGTAATCCCAGTACTTGGGAGGCTGAAGCAAGAGGATCACTGCAAGTTTGAGACCAGCCTGTACTACATAGTTAACTCAAGGCCAGCCTAGACTACAGAGCAAGACCCTATCTCGAAACAAAACAAAACAAAAAAATTAAACATGGCAAACTCACTGTGCAGTCCAGGCTGCTCTTGAACTCAGTGCTCCTCCTCCCTCCCCCTGCACAGTAGTGGGATTACAGGCACGCACCACCACCAGGCTTGCACCACCAGGTCTGAGTAAATCTGTCCAAACACTTTCATTTGATGATTTGTACCTTTTGTGTGAACAAGGTGACAGACTTGGGACATACAGTACTTCAGTAGGTGCTCTAGAATGGTGAACTATGAGCTCCTCAGTGTGATAGATCAGGAAAACCTCTGAGTCAGACTTTGCTGAAGTCGAAATGCTTTTTTTGGTTTTTAGATCTTACGAACTAACCCGGAAGGATCGGCTGTACAAAAACATCATTCGAATGCAGCATACACATGGATTCAAGGCTTTTCACATCCTCCCTCAGACCTTCCTCCTGCCAGCTGAGTACGCGGAATTCTGTAGTAAGTGCTTGGTGGAGAGTGCCTATCCCCAGCACCGAGCTGGGGCACATTTACTGGGCAGAGTCACTGCAAAGCGGCTGTACATTATCACCCATTTCAAATCTTGGAGCAATTGTGGTTCTTTAGTAAATCAGTTGTAGAGCTAAAACTAATTGTGCACCTGTGTATTCATTCTTAGTAAGATGACAGTACCATTTTTTAAGGACACATCAGTGTCATAAAGGTAGCTCTGTCTTGTGTATTTTGCTCGATTGTCTCTTCATCCGTAAGAGTCAGTCCCCATATGGACACTTCACACTTCTGCATGTGAGCTACATATGCTTCCTTTCTAGTGTTACTTTTCCCTTTGTCATTTAAGAAACAGTCCTGCCATCTTGATTTCTGGACTTGCATGATTTATATTCTTTGGAGGTAAAAGTATTATACTTCTATAAGTCTTTTAATGTTAGAGTTTGGCAGTACCAGCTAGAGACACCCTCTGTCCTTTAAATTCAGACCAATTAAAAAATGTACATGGGAGTCGAAGAGAGACCTAAATGTCAGCTGTATTACTGGTAAAGTGACATAGAAAAGTGTACCCTGGCTTCAGATCTAAAATGGGCTCCTTATTTCTTTTGTCTCATCATAAAACTACCTGCCCTGGCCCTGCCTGAAGAGCCATGGTATGTGGCACCTCTTCCTCGATGCCATAGCTGACTTTAGGCTTGGTGGCCAGAGAGGCTCAAGTGCAGGGAGGGTGCACGTGCTCAAAACCTTAGCTGGAGCAGACAGCCAAGGGGAAGAAAGGGAATGTGTATAGGAAAGGGAAAAGTCAATTATCATTATTTGTAGGTGATAGGACCCTCTACATAGAAGATCCAAAATATCCCACTACAAAGACTTCTAGAATCACCAAATTCAGTAACATAACAGGATACAAAATAAACATACAAAAATCAGTAGCATTCATGTACACCAAAAACAAACTCATTGAGAAAGAAATTATAAAAATAATACCATTCATAATAGCATCTAGAAAAATGAAATTCTTAGGAATTAACCTAATGAAGTGTCGTAGTTACTTTTCTCTCATTACTTTTCTCCAAGGCACTGTGGCATGATACAGGGGCAAAAGCAGCAAGAGCGAGGGGTGGGGGGACGCAAGCCTCTTTTCCTTCCTTATATTGTAAGCAGGCTATCCCATCCTCCCCAGAGCAAGTGTAGCACTCACACAATCTCCATGCCCTCCTGTTTGTTTTTGTTTTTTTTAAGAGCAGAATATATTTATTGAGGGAAAGAGCCTCTGTCCAGGAGAGGGAGAGAAGGGGGCCCGAATGGGTTGCCAAGGACCTTCCCCTTCCCAGGGACTTTGTAGAGCAAAACCACGAGGTGAGGTGGGTCCAAGATAGGGGGAAAATGGGAAATTACAAGGTGGGCTCCATGCCGTCCTCTTGCATGATGTTTACAGGTAAGGACCCTGGCTCCCTGCTGAGTAGCTTAGTTATACTTCTAAACTTCTCAAATTGACACAATGTATGAACTATTACAATCCACCCCTTGTCAACCTGGTAAGCAGACACATTTCTTTAAACTGGTTTCCAGATAGAAAGACATGCTTATTCTTAACATTTTACAATTTGAACATTTTAACACAGGTTTAACAATCCTTCAGAACCACTATTAAGTCTGTCAACATTATATTATATTAGAACCATAATATTCTGTCCCTGGCCCCCCAAAGACTCATCATGCACATCCCTTTATGCAAAAGGCATTTAGCCCATCTGCAAGAGTTGTCAGAGTCCTAACAGTTTCAGCACTGCTGAAAAGTCCAAGTCCCAAGTCTCTTCTGAGCTATAAGCAAACTCTTAGTTGCAAGCCCCAGACAAATGAAAAGTTAGACGCTTCCAACATTCAATGGCACAAAATAAACATTTTCATTCCAAAAGTTACAAACAGGGGAATACAAAGAAATGGGACCAAGCAAGTCCAAAATCCAGGGGGCAAACATTAAGTCCTATAGTTCCATGTCCAGCATCTGAAGCAATCTGTGGTAAATTGTGAGCTCCAAAGGGCTTGCATGGCTCTACTCCTATGGCAGTTCTGGTGGTTGTATCTCCCATGGCTTCTCTCTTTGGCCCACTTTTGTCCCGCCTTGCAGCTTTCCTTAGACAATCCACATTCCTGACTTCTCCAGACTCCTGGGGTCTCCACTGAACCTTTGGCTTCTCACTCCCAGGCCTTCTACAATTGAGGTGGAAGCCTTTTTAACCCCACAACTGTTGCATTCTGCGTGCACCTAAAACCAGCACCATGTGGATGATGCCAAGGTCTGCTGCCAGCTGGAGCAGTAGCCAGGTTTTCCTGTCTCTTGGCTGTAGGGGTCAAGTGCCTGGATTGCTGGGCACTCTTGAATCCAATTCTAAGAAACAAATTTTCTGTGCTGCTGCCATTCTGGAACCTGGTGCAGCCACCACCGTTCTGGAACATGGTGCTCTGTGGCTTTTTCCTCAAAGCAAAGTCTTTCACTTTTGCAGTTTTGAGGCTTCAAAGGGTGGAAACTTGCTGCTACTTGTGATATCTTGTATATTCTTCTGTTCCTTTTCAGCAATCACAGTCTCCTCAGCCAGCTCTATCTTTGTAGTCCATAGCTTTATTGGAGCTTCCTTTCTGGCCAAATTCACACCTTTTTAAATCATCCTGCTGGGCTCTTTGCTCTTAATTCTCAACATAATCTAGTTAAAAGCTTCCAACCATAGTCATGATACTGCCTCAACATTCAACTGCTTTGAAATTTGTTCTGCCAAATTAATTAGGCCACCAGTCTTAATCTCAGTCTCAGGCAAAGTCTCTGAACACAAGCAAAATGCAGACAGACTTTCTGCCAAGCCATAACATACATTATCTGGAGTCAAACAGTCAGTGCAGTCCTTCTTCCCAACAGAAACCTCCCAAGCCTGATCTTTACCAGTTTTCTGGTCTTCTGAGCTCTAACCAGAATCTCCCATATAGAACAGCCTAAGATGTTCCAGTTCTGCTTTTGCAGGTAACATTTCTGAACCTTTCCAAACTCTTCCCACAAGCTATTTCCAGAGGCCCTGGAACCACATGGTCAGGTGTAGTCACAGCCACGACCCTACTTCTCTGGTACCAAATTTTGTGTTGGTTACTTTTGTTGCTGAGACAAAATACCTGATGCCCAAAATTAAGGAAGGAAAGATTTATTTAGCTCACAGTTTGTGAAGGTTTCAGTCCATAATCAGCTGGCTCCAAGGTAGGGTCACATGGTACAGGGGCAACAGTTCAAGGCAGCAGAAGACAGCAAAAGCAGCAAGAGCAGGATGGGGGTGGGGCACAAGTCTGTTTTTCTCCCTTATATTGTAAGCAGGCTATTTCATCCCCTGGGGTGGTTGTAACACCCGCAATCTCCATGCCCTCCTCTTGCACAGGATGAGGATGTTTTCAAAGTAAAGACCCTGGCTTCCTGCTCAGTGGCTTAGTTACACTTCTGAACTTCTCAAGTTGACACAGTGTATCAATCATTACACCAAGGAAGTGCAAGATCTCTACAATGAAAACTAAGTACTCTGAAAAAGGAGATCAAAGAAAACATCAGAACATGGAAAGACATGCCCTGATCTTGGAGAGAGAGAACCAATATTGTCAAAATGTGTATACTTCCTGTTAGGACATGAATCTAGAAGCCCTGCCAATGCCTCGTGCACTCATAGGTGTGGCTTTTGAAGCTGGCTGGATCTAAGTGTGTGATACTGGGATTAAAATTGTGTAGTTCTAAATTAGTCCACTGATAGAATAGTTCTGGATGTGTCTGCATGGACTTACTGATACAAAAGCCCCCACCCTGGGTGTGGGAAGGCCTAGCCTGGGTATGGGTGGCACCATCCAAAAGGCTTGTAGCCTAGGTGGGATAAAAGAGAAAAACAGGTGCCTTGTTGCTGTGCTGCCTCCGGCCTGCTTTGCCATGGACTGTTTCTCCACTGTGATGCCCCTCTCCCATGCCACCCTGCTGTGGAGACAGCTGACTGAGTATTGAAAGCTCTATAAACCACAAGCTGAAATAAACCTTTTCTCCTTTAACTTCAGATGTTATGTATTTTGTCTGAGCAATAAGAAAAGTAACTAAGATATTTCTAAAACTGATACACAGATTTAATGCAATTCCCAATCAAAATAAAATAGTATTCTACACAGAACTAGAGAAAACAGTTCTAAAATTCATATGGAATCAGAAGAAACTCAGAATAGTAAAAACAATTCTGGGCAACAACAGCAGAGCAGGAAGCATCATAATCCTAGACTTCAAGTTATATTACAGAGCTATAGTGATAATAAGAAAAGCACAGTAATGGCACAAAAACAGACATGTGAATCAGAGGAATAGAATAGAGGATACAGAAACAACTCCAGCTACATTTAGCTATCTGATCTTTGACAAAGGGGCCAAAAATATACACTGGAGGAAAAATAGCATCTTTAACAAATGGTACTGGGAAAACTGGCTGTCCATGTGCAGAAGATTGAATCTAGGCCCATATCTTGCATCACTTAGTAAACTAAAACCAAAATACATCAAAGATCTAAATGTTAAATAATCTGTTGGAATGTAAAATAGGTAGAGCTCTTGAAGACACAGACATAGGGAAGGACTTTCTGAACAGAACCCCAATGGCATAAGAAATAATACCAAGAATCAACAAGTGGCAGTACATCAGATTGAAAATTTTCTACACAGCAAAGAAAGCAACCAACAGAATGAAGAAACAACCTATAGACTGGGAAAAAAATTTTGCCAGCTAGTCCTTGGACAGAGGACTAGTATCTAGAGTATATAAAGAACTAAAAAAAAAAAAAATAGACCTCTCCAAGAATTAGAAGAAACATGGGCAGCAGAAATGAGCAGACACGTCTCAGAAGAAGTACATATGACCAGTAAATACATGAAAAAATGTTGAGGGGCTGGAGATATAGCTCATTGGCACAAGCACCTGCCTGGCAAGCAC